ATGGTGGGGAGACGGTGTGCCCAGACAGAGAGTGGGAGAGACAGCGAGGAGGGTTTGAGAAGTCCGGGACCTTCGTTGCCAAAGGAAGCAGGCACAGCCATCACTGGACAGACACGAGTTCCGACAGAGTCACTGAGTTCGGCTAGCGATAATCCAGAGCCACCAGGTTTGGCAACTCAGTCTCCACACACACACAAGGTGCGACCGGTATGTCAGATGCACAAAATAGAAGGCGCAGTAAAATACACAAGGCGATGAGAATCATAAGGCACAGACACGAAATCAGAAGATCAAAATGCCAAATAGTACCATCAATAAGACTACAACAACGCTCTGGCTCAGCCGGCCACCTCAACGTGGTGCCGGGGTCTAGTACTCTTTGCTAGAGAGGAAGCTAAGCGCCTGCTGCCCATCCGCTGCGCGCGGAGAGGTGCTGGACGCCGCACAAACTGGTCGGAAGGGCACCAGATGGAGCCATTTGTAATGGTTGTCCGCTGAGCGGTATTTCATCCGCTGCTGAATTCCATCGGCGCTTATCAGCGCTATGCATACCGTTCGCGTGCCGTATGTGACGCGAAACGACAAATGTTACTGCGAGGCGGAGACATTGAGCAGAACCCAGGCCCCATAGCAGTACTCCAGATGAACGTTTCTTGCCTCACGCCGTCAAAACTCGCAACATTAATGGCGCAAGGAGCAGACATAATAGCCATCCAGGAGACTTGGAAGTCGTCAGAGCAGATCGCCAGCATGCATACTGGAGATTATGTGCTCTATGCACAGTCGCGCATCGGCAAGGGAGGCGGTGTGGCGGTGCTGGTGCGGAAAACTCTCCGCTCCAAGCGTATACCCCTCACCATCCCCCAGCATGACACCAGCCATGAAGTGGTGGTGGTCCAGGCTGCTCTGGACCAGAACCGTGATCTTATTGTAGCGAGTGCCTATATGAGACCACCACCGCAAGTAACGCAATCCCTCAGGCGGTTATTAAACTGCCTTACAGCCTCGTCGCCGCTCCTGCTGTGCGGGGATTTCAACATGCATCACCCACAGTGGGAGCCATTCTTGGAGACTTCTCCAAGCGAGGTTGCCGCAGAATTTTTAGAACTGTGCACGGATGCGGGACTCACCTTGGTTACACCCCTGGTGAGATCACGTATGCCCGTGGCACAAGAGACAATCCTGTATCGATCTGACGT